CAACCTCTGGAAACAGGACCTCTGTGGGTTCCTGTGATTGTCCTGGGAGCTCCAAGTGCAGCCATGGCCTAAGCTAAGGTTCTCGTTGATACCAGAGTAACTGCAAAGACTTTTTAGGGACCTGTTGAGAAACAACGGGTGATGAGAGTCAGAAATGGTGCATCCTGAGGCCTTCCCATCTGCACAAGTGGAGAAGACACACCATGGGAACAGGTGGAGAGGGAAGGGGGATGTGAGAAGAAAACGGCAGTGAAGGCTGGTAGAAAAGGGAAAGCAACCGGTGTGGACCCCTACCATGGCCTGCCTGTAGAGACCCCTGACTTGTGGTTTCTGGGACAGTGACAACTCAGCGCTTGTCCTGTTGGACATGCCCCAGTCACCATTAAGGTCAATGTATGTGGGAGGTTTCACAGAGGCTCAGGAGGCTTGGTCCCTGGCCCAGGATGACCCTTTTAGACATGCTAATCATGAGTCTGGGTTCTTCATGGGGGTGATGTTTAAGGAATGAATGAATGCATGTGCAAATAGGAGGGAATGCTGAAAGGAGCCCTGAGCCAATTTGTTTGAAAATCTTGTTTTAGGGCCAGCCCCCACGGCCTGGCGATTAAGGGAGCCGGATCCCACATGACCGACTATATAGTTCAGGTTCTGGCCCTGGCAGCTTGAAATACAAACCAGGTACATGTGCAGTCATGCCCCAGATCCTGACAGGATGGATAAATAAAGAAGTGATCGTGGTGTGACCCACCCCATAAGGGATGCTTTCTTCCTACCCCATCACTCTCCAGTGAATGCCAGAGTGAATATCCTTCTGGAGAATTAAAAATAACAGGGGACCAGCAGATGGCTTAATGGTTATGTCACTGGATTCCCATATTGTTGACTGTGGTTCAAGTCTTGGATCTGGTGGCTTAAAACTCACTCTGGGCATGTGTGTGTGTGTTCCCAAAACCCCAAGAGGAGAATGGAAGAGAAGGGACTGTGGCATGGTCCCCCCCCCTGGGCGTGATTTCTTGCTTTCTGTCTGTCTCTCTGGCAAATGCATACACCCTATAGCAAAGATCTCTCTCTAAAAACAAACTAACTAAATACATAGAAGATGACCTCATTTGAAATATGAAGGGCTTGTGGGAAGTGGGTGTGGAGTCCCTGCCTAATTCTCCTGGGGAGGTGGACAGTGTGAACTAGCAAGGTGGTGGCTGAATAACAATGCCAATGCATCAAATGCCACCGAGCAGTTCACTTTAAAACGGCCAGTTGTGTATTATGAGAACTTTACACCCATTTAAAAAAAATGAAGCCCCTGAGATCAGGAAGGACTGCTCCCCCCCTGCCCCCAGCCACCTGGATCGTCCTGGAAGACATTTGGGGTGTTGGTGCCACATCTGAGAACCCTGATGCTCTTTCCCACAATGCCGCTTGGAAGCAGATAGGGCATGACCTGTAACAACCGCCAGGACTCTGGATCCGTGTGTTAACTGAAGGTTATAGGAGGCCACTGTGTTGGACTAAGCTCCCGCTCTAGGCCCCAACAGACCAGGTCCAAATGGAGCCACCCAAGCTAAAATGTCACATCACCAAACTGAAACTTTAAGGAAGCTGACAGATCTCAAATAGACCAGTTTTCCTGAGTCAGTGCTGTAAGGAAATAAAACGAATGCACATTTGTGGCTTTCTTAGAAATATGCACCTGAAATTGTGGCCTAGACTCACTAGAGTTTTTGTGCTACGGACATTACTGCCCAAGTACGTTCCTTCTGTACTGCCAAGACTCACTGTCTCCACACTTTGCTTAAGAATGAGGCAAGAGACCACAGGTGGCCATGAGGTCACCCTGCTCCCCTCAGCAGAGAATTCAGCCAATCACTGTTGGACTACACTCCTTGCTCCTCCCCACTCCCTCTCACCTTTAAAATCATCCTGAAATCTATTAAGACCTTGGGACATATTATCCAGGGTGACTTCAATGTCCTGTCCCCGAGAGATCGTCCTCAATCTTGGCCCAAAGAAACTCTCTGGCTTTACCTACTTAGCCTTGGCCTTTGTCCTAGGTTGACGCAAAAGCCTGCCAGCTTGGCTGGCCTGGCCCCTCAAGCTGGTAAGGCCCAGAGCACCTGGAGGTCACAGCAAGAGCAGTTCACAGCCACCCAACCTTCCCGCCAGCCTCCAAGCCAGGGCAGGCAGCAGCCCCCTCAAACCCTCAGCCCTCCCAAACCCTCCTAAATCCACAGTTCTCCCTTGCACCTGCCTCCCCTGCTCAGGCCACGTGCAGTTAGTGGTGGCTTCCACTGTGGCCCCAGCAAGACAGACACTGGAGAGTGCATTTGCAAACGCCAAGAGCAGTCCAGTAGGGTGGTTTTGTTGGTTGAAACTGACAATAAAAAATTAGGGCTTGTAATTTTTTTCAGTTCATTTTTCTGAGCAAAATTTGTTTCTATTGGATTTTATGAGCTGGTGACTGGGAAGCTGGCTCTAGTCCCTTCCACGGACAGTTTGAGTGAGACATCAGGACGAAAGCCTGCCCTGCATCCTCTTCCCTCCCAAAGGTGCTTTTTTTGGGGGTGAGGAGGGTGGCTTTTCCCTCCTCTGAGACTGGAACACTGTTGTCCCCCTTCAGCTCTTTTCGCTGACCCTGTCACAAGCTTGCATTTCCATCATCCTGGCATTTTTTGCAAGTGGAACAGGAATCTCAGTGACAGCCACAGTCATGACAGGGGAAGTGGCATTTCCATATGAATGTAAGCAGCCCTGCATCCTCAAGGCTACTTGCAGCTGGGGTGATCTCAGCGGCTGCTGGGCTAAAACAAAGATGTATTTTTATATTGAAATCATGTTCTTTCTTCCTTAAAAGTCATGATAAAACCTTCCATTCATGAGTCTAGAATATTTTTCAGTTACATGGCTTTGAAAAAAATAACCGTGTGTACTCATTTCCAAAAAGGAAAGACTATCGATTTCAAAAGGCATTGTTGGGTTCAGTTTAGGAGGTTCGGGAATAGGAAACTGCTCTTTCTCTGTAGGTTGTGTGAGATTTTCTTCTAATTGCTGAACCACAGGCATGTCTTGGGGAGGGTGCAAAATGAATCAGGCCTACCGAGGACAATGTTTTCTGGGTATCACATTAGATAGGCACAGCTCAGTGGGGGCAGTGGGTTAAAAGGTCTCATTTATAAAAACATTTCTAAGCATTACAGAATGACATTTACATCTTGTCCCTCCCTGTTTACTCAGTTTAATACCCAAACTAAAAACCTGGAGGGAAGATGCTGTGTGGTGGGCAAGGGGGGCTGGCGACCTACGGGGAATGGGGGTCTCAGGCCTCTGACATGTGGGGATGAGAAGGGTGGGTGATGCTTTAAGTCAAGGTAAGCGAGGAAGGAAAACGGGAGACTCCCTCAGAATGTGGATGCTGGCAGAAGTGGAATCACAAGTCGGAAAAGAATCAGAGGGAAAAAGAATGATGAGAGCTAAGCTGTGTTTGTAGGAAACTTACATGATCCATTTAATGTTGATGTAAATGTCATTTTTAGTTGTAGAAAATTGTTTTTAATGTGTAAATAACTTGTTACTTTAAAAAAAGAAAGCCGATCTGGTGAAGACAGCTGGCACTCCAGAGCCCCTAGACAGGTCTGCCTCCTCCTACCTCCCGTCTGGCCGCCTCTGCAGAGGGCGGGCGGAGGACTGGGAGCGACTCAGTGGCCCTGGTCTCCACCATGGAGCTGCTGCTGTGCTGGGGCCCATCTGAACTATCTTTTCTAAATACAGGGCACCCCATCTCTGAGAAAAACACCCACGATGCAAACTGGAATGCTCTCCGTTCCAAAGGAAGTTTTGAAGCCTGAACCCCACCGTGAAATCTCAAGTGCAGCCCTGATATGTACCACGAAGTGTGACATTTCACAGTCGGAGACAAATCACGGCACATTATTTAAAGCATGATGTACAAAATATCCACGTGTCTGTCCACTGTGGCCTGGGTTTGATCTTTTGTGCAAAGAAGCACATTCTGAATAGGGAGGCCCTTTCTCTGCTGGCTGAATCTAATCTTGAGAAAACCTAAACCATGCAATTCTATCTGGGGTTTGTCTGCTTTTGACATAATGGAAACATTAGCAGGAAGAACATTCTCTGAGTGTGCTGCTTGAGGTTTTTTTTTTTTTTTTTTCTTAAAAAAACATTTTATTTCAAAGGGTAAGGA